TTAGAGATACAGAATAATTTACACTGGGAAAATATTATAGTAACTGGTTACAAATCTAGCACCAGGAGACATAACAGGAAGTGCGGTCTCATTATCTCTATTGATAAAACAAGGGTTATTGTTCCACATTCTCTTCACCGTGATAACTATACTATTAATCGGGTGCACTCTCAAGGTAACCACGCGGAGATGTGTGAGTCTTAGAAATATCTGGGAATCGAAATCAGTGGTACAAATCTTATCAACAACCTTTGAAAAATGCTTCTTGGGCGACTTAGACCTCTCAAAATTCTTGTGGCTACAAGATTTGGCATTAACATAATATATGCTCGAAGCTTTTATATTGCCTTTATACGATCTGTTGTTTATAATTCCTTACATTTTTTAAATTTTTCTCCTAAACAATTACAATGCCTAGATGTAGTACAAAATGATATCACGAGCATCATCCTGGGTTGTTCCAGGAGTCAGCATTGTTAACATGAGAAAGGAACTAAGACTACCTTCTATGTGAGAATAGTTCTACTAAATACTGTACTATGTTTTGAGCCAAAATTTTGAAAAAATAATGACCCCCCCAGCATTATTCAAATTAAATTGTGATCCATTCTAAAGAACTCTGTTCTCTCAAATCCTCAGTTGTTGTGCCTCTAATCTTATGCAGGTGAATACTGGTAAAATTTTTTAACTACGTTTCCCCATTGCAAATATGTACAGGTCTCTGTACAATATACACCCTTCAGTGTAAAGCGAACCTCTAACACTAGAAGTTATTGACAGTCAACTTTGAAATCTCAGACAACTGAATTCTATGCCTTTAGTGATGGTTCTGTGCAATTGGACACAGGAGGAGCAGGTTATACATGTGCAGTATCTAAAGCAAATGAAATGATTATGTCTACTGTATAATGCAGAGCCTGAACAACCACAACACAAACTGAGGTATTGGATATTTGTCAGGCCATTGAATACCTTAATCTCAAAGTGGGTGGAGTGTTATCTTGTGACTCAGTACACAGAGAAATCACATTATCGTGATATATCAGTGAGAAAATCCACAGGAGCTGTGATGAGGATTCGAACCTATGCGCTGTGTATTTTTTCATTGATATATCACGATAATGTGATTCCTCTGTGTATTGCAAGAGGGGCGTCAGAGGTAGAATTACTGGACGACAGAGCCAAAGTGCATGGGAGGGAATTGTGTGAAACCCTTCTTTGGCTTCAGTGGAAGGTCTTTAAATAACACATCACCATTAATGTCTGAAGCAGTTTGTAATATGAAATGGAATGTGATTTTTGCCAATGATAACTTTTGGACAAAATTTGTCTGGATCCCATCACATGTTTGGCTTGGAAAGCACGGCTTTGTAGATCAATTGTTCAATGAGACTTTCAGTTAGTTTAGTCTCAGAAAAGAAAACAGACTATAACTGTGAACTATATAATGAAATTACTAAAAACAAATAAATGAGATTAATGGATAAGGATTTGATCTGTAAACATTGTGACAAACTGTTAAGGCATTCACCTGAACACCACATTATTGTATGTGAAACTGTACAAGATTTCAGACCTCTTGACCTATTGTACTGTCAACTATGTAACTGTTTCATTAAATCTGGAATATTGGGAGACATTGCAACCATATAGTTTAAATTTGCTTGTCCATATTAAAGAATAAAAAACTTTTTTTTTTTTTTGTTTTAGCTGCATCTCTTATGAATCCATCCCTGCCTAGTGTGGCTGCATTTCAAATTCATATACTGAAACACATATAATATCTGAAATAATTCATTGAAACCTCATGAAATATGTGTTTTAATATACAATTTAGACCTATTGTTTTGGGTATGATCATCTGCCTTGTGTGGCAATGAATACGAGCATCACTTACTGTAATGAGACCTAACTCAATTAGATTAGGCAAAATTGTGTATTTTGTTAGATTTTGCACTATCCTAGTCCAATATTCCGACTATAAAGCACCAACTGATTTTATCTGTGGCATCATTATAATGTACATAACAGCCACTATTAGTCGACACAACCCATCACCATATTTACACAATTAAACTGTCATAATTCTACATTCATTGCAATTCAGTATTTAAATATTATATATTAGCCTACCAATCAACAGCAATCATTCGACACTATTAAACAGCACATAACACCAAAAGTCACATTACACACATATCAACACCATTCATCATCACGGATCACTGTGCAACACCAACGCCCAACACTACAGGTCATGTATGTGGGGGTCCACAGGTCATGTATGTGGGGGTCCACAGGTCATGTATGTGGGGGTCCACAGGTCATGTATGTGGGGGTCCACAGGTCATGTATGTGGGGGTCCACAGGTCATGTATGTGGGGGTCCACGGGTCATGAATGTGGGGGTCCACGGGTCATGAATGTGGGGGTCCACGGGTCATGAATGTGGGGGTCCACGGGTCATGAATGCTGGGGACCACGGGTCATGAATGTGGGGGTCCACGGGTCATGAATGTGGGGGTCCACGGGTCATGAATGTGGGGGACCATGGGTCATGAATTCTGGGGACCACGGGTCATGAATACGGGGGACCACGGGTCATGAATGCTGGGGACCACGGGTCATGAATGTGGGGAACCACGGGTCATGAATGCTGGGGACCACGGGTCATGAATGCGGGGGACCACGGGTCATGAATGTGGGGAACCACGGGTCATGAATGCTGGGGACCACGGGTCATGAATGCTGGGGACCACGGGTCATGAATGCGGGTTGACCACGGGTCATGAATGCGAGGGACCACGGGTCATGAATGCGGGGGGACCACGGGTCATGAATGCGAGGGACCTCGGGTCATGAATGCGGGGGACCACGGGTCATGAAAACGGGGGACCACGGGTCATGAATGCGGGAGACCACGGGTCATGAATGCGGGGGACCACGGGACATGAATGCGGGGGACCACGGGTCATGAATGCGGGGGTCCACGGGTCATGAATGCGGGGGACCACGGGTCATGAATGCGGGGGTCCACGGGTCATGAATGCGAGGGACCACGGGTCATGAATGCGGGGGACCACGGGTCATGAATGCGGGGGACCACGGGTCATGAATGTGGGGGTCCACGGGTCATGAATGCGGGGGTCCACGGGTCATGAATGCGGGTGACCACGGGTCATGAATGTGGGGGTCCACGGGTCATGAATGCGAGAGACCACGGGTCATGAATGCGGGGGGACCACGGGTCATGAATGCGAGGGGACCACGGGTCATGAATGCAGGGGACCACGGGTCATGAATGCGGGGGACCACGGGTCATGAATGCAGGACACCACGGGTCATGAATGCAGGGGACCACGGGTCATGAATGCAGGGGACCACGGGTCATGAATGCAGGGGACCACGGGTCATGAATGCGGGGGACCACGGGTCATGAATGCGGGGGACCACGGGTCATGTATGCGGGGGAACACGGGTCATGTATGCGGGGGACCACGGGTCATGAATGCGGGGGACCACGGGTCATGAATGCGGGGGGGGGGGGGGGAGGACCACCGACCACAACACCTCAGGCCAACAAGTGTATTACCCAAGTCAAAGGTTTGCACGACAATGTAAACAAACATCCCCACACTCTACATACAGACATTATTATAAACAACAAGACAACAAGGATAAATACCGACATTAAGATAATCAACTAAGAACGCCCAATACTTACCAGTGACGACGTTGTCGTTCAAGTAGGTTTATTGAGACAATAAAATACATCTCAAAAGGATAGAATAGCTTAGGCTATTTCTACCTCAAGTCCCTCAATGGTTGCACAACTCCAGTGAGTACAAATGCACAAATCACAGTACAAGAACCACATTTAACATTGCAGGTTAATATAGTAAGCACAGTATATAAGTATTATACTCGTGGGGCGACGTTTGTTGTTGTTGTGGAGGCGGCGACGACGATCATATGACAACATTCTCCACGTGTTTACCATCCTGACGCCAACAGCTGATTAGCACATTTCGAAAATGAATGGACTAATTGTTTAACTGCTACGCATTATTCTATATCAAATATTTGTACTAGTAAAATTAACTTGTTCACCATGAAAGAATCATAATAATAATAAGGATGATCAAATAAAGAGGCTCTGAAATAATATGAAGTTGAAATTAACACGATCAGCTGATTCCCGTCTTTCGAAAGATGGATAGACTCTAAATTCTTAAAGCTATATAATATTTGTTTTTAAATACAGAGTTTACGTTTAATTATACACAATATAATTTATATATGATAAAAATATTCATAGGTAATTACTAAACGCAGATTAAAGCAATAAAGATGTAGCGGCAGGTCTCAAAACGGCGCCAAGGCTCAGTGTTGTTGGACAGTTGTGGTGTCGTGACCTAACATTTACCTTCTTGTAAACCAACTTTATAATAAGCAAGTACTAACAGTCTCTGTGTTGCAATTGTCAATTGAAAAGGCCATATAACGTGTTAGTTGACGAAACTCTTGGTAAACTTAGACATTTGTTATATATAGATAAAGTGAGAAGGCACTTGTTTAAAAGTCGTGTGAATATGAAGGGCAGTGGTAAAAAAAAATCATTTTCGCTTGCTTTTGGCCCATTTTGCAACATAGTTCCTGGATCTAAATACTCAGTGATGGTGTGTGAGGGGCAAGGAAGGGCCGTGTTACTGTAGTGAAGGCTGCACCAGCGAGGCCACGCCCGGTGAGTACACTAAATCTCATTTACACTAAATCTTATTTACATTAAATCTTATTTACACTAAATGTCAACATTTTTCCTGTATGAAACACCACCTTTATCGTCCACTTCCTCCTCCGCCGCCGCTGTCTGAGAACAACATTGTGTGAAGCTCTCACCACGGTACAGGTGAATTGAGTTTACAACATTCGTATTGAAGTCTCGCTAATCTCTATTAATGTGACTGACGCCTCGTATCTTGTGTCACTCTCCTCCTTGTCTCATGTGGAGGTGTCTGGAGCCGCAGGTGTCTGGATCCGTAGGTGTCTGGAGCCGCAGGTGTCTGGAGCCGTAGCTGTCTGGAGCTGTAGGTGTCTGGAGCCGTAGCTGTCTGGAGCTGTAGGTGTCTGGAGCCGTAGCTGTCTGGAGCCGTAGGTGTCTGGAGCCGCAGGTGTCTGGAGCCGCAGGTGTCTGGAGCCGTAGCTGTCTGGAGCTGTAGGTGTCTGGAGCCGTAGCTGTCTGGAGCCGTAGGTGTCTGGAGCTGTAGGTGTCTGGAGCCGTAGGTGTCTGGAGCCGTAGGTGTCTGGAGCCGTAGCTGTCTGGAGCCGTAGGTGTCTGGAGCCGTAGGTGTCTGGAGCCGTAGGTGTCTGGAGCCGTAGGTGTCTGGAGCCGTAGCTGTCTGGAGCCGTAGGTGTCTGGAGCTGTAGGTGTCTGGAGCCGTAGGTGTCTGGAGCCGTAGGTGTCTGGAGCCGTAGGTGTTTGGAACCGTAGGTGTCTGGAGCCGTAGCTGTCTGGAGCCGTAGCTGTCTGGAGCCGTAGGTGTCTGGAGCCGTAGGTGTCTGGAGCTGTAGGTGTCTGGAGCCGTGGAGCCGTAGGTGTCTGGAGCCGTAGGTGTCTGGAGCCGTAGTGTCGTAGGTGTCTGGAGCCGTGGAGCCGTAGGTGTCTGGAGCCGTAGTGTCGTAGGTGTCTGGAGCCGTAGTGCCGTAGGTGTCTGGTGCCGTAGGTGTCTGGAGCCGTAGTGTCGTAGGTGTCTGGAGCCGTGGAGCCGTAGGTGTCTGGAGCCGTAGTGTCGTAGGTGTCTGGAGCCGTGGAGCCGTAGGTGTCTGGAGCCGTAGGTGTCTGGAGCCGTAGGTGTCTGGAGCCGTAGGTGTCTGGAGCCGTAGGTGTCTGGAGCCGTAGGTGTCTGGAGCCGTAGTGTCGTAGGTGTCTGGAGCCGTAGTGTCGTAGGTGTCTGGAGCCGTAGTGTCGTAGGTGTCTGGAGTCGTAGTGTCGTAGGTGTCTGGAGCCGTAGTGTCGTAGGTGTCTGGAGCCGCAGTGTCGTACCCGTCCATCAGGAAAATATAGTCCAAATGGTCATTAATCCAATCACATAACCCCCAGTTTATAAATGACAAAAGCTTTACACATAACGCCATCCTATCCTTAGGCTACTCTCGTCCTGTTCAACATTTTATTTCAAAATTGTTCCATTCTCAACTATAAAATAATATTAGTTTGTGCATTGTTAGCCACAAGTGTTTAGGTTCTGTTGGCAGTGTTTGAACGTCATCAGTTGAGTTTTGTGTAGTGTTTTTTTATTCGTAAATAGAGATTGGCGGCGGGATTAATGGGCATTTGAATATTATCTGTGTGGGCGGACTGCATGACTCGACTGATTACGTTTTGAAATTTTCTCAAAATTTTGAGAAAATTTGAGGCTGAAAAAAATGAGACTTTGCTCACGTCCTCTGCTTGGCCTCAGGCTATGTTCATTCCATCCAGTGGCCAACCCCAAAGACGCATTCATCAATTTTAACGTGATGTTCATTCTAAATAAGAATTTGCTCATATATCAATTATTATATATATATATATATATATATATATATATATATATATATATATATATATATATATATATATATATTAGCATATTGTGCATATTTAAGCATAAGTTATGTTAGGTTTTTATGTTCTGTTACCAATTTTGTTTTTGTAGTACGATTGTGAAGCATTTACAGCAACCTGTCCTCAGGCCAGGCTCGTTAAAGCTGGCCCCCCCCCCCCTAACCCAAAACGCATTCATAAATGTTAGCAGTGTATTACAACAGGTTTGTTCTTATTTATATATTAATATTATTATATATTAAGGTTCTTTGTATAGTTAGGCGTATGCGTTTACGTTTAAGGAGCGTTTAGCCCGATTTTTAACCGATTTCAACCCGTCCTCGACTCAAGTCCTTTCCATCCAGCGGTCGACCCCACAGACGCATTCATAAATTTTTACAAGCTGTTCATTCAAAACGGGAATTTTCTCAAAATAATTTATTATAATATATCAGCATATTGTGCACATATAGGCATAGGTTAGGTTAGGTAAGGTGTTTAGGTTCTGTTGGCGATTATTTGTATGTGTAGTACGTGGGTGAAGCTTTTACAGCGTTGTGCTTCGAACAGAATTCGTGAGTGAAGCACTTGCTCCGGAAGTGTTCGAACGAAATCAGTTGTGAGTCGTGTGTAAACCGTTTTTCATAAATAAACAGGGGGTTTGGCGGGTACATGGAATCACTTTTGGGTCTTTGCTTAGAGGACGGGCTGGGATCAGAGGTCATCAGCGAACCACTGTTCGAGAAATATTCGAGCTTCAGCAGGTGTGAGTCGTGTGTAACAGACCATATTCACCAACAAAGGCCAAATGCTCGTTAATTCAGCCGCCAAACTCCTTGTTTATGAATGAAAACGCTTTACGAACGACTCACAACTGATGACGTTCGAACATTTTTCAAATAGTGTTTTGCTGACGATTTCTGCTCGAATCGCAACTCCGTAAACGCTTCGCCCACGAACTTCAAATTCAAATAATCGCTAGCAGAACCTAAGCACCTAACCCAACCTATGCCTAACTATACATAGAACTTTAATATATAATAATAATAATTTATATATGAGATCAAACTTATTTTGAGTGCACAACGTGTAAAACTTTATGAATGTGTTTGTGGGACGGCCCCTGCATTAAGGAGCCGGGCCCTTAATGTTTCGGGCCCGATTGGGCCCGAATATCCTCGGCCCCAATCGGGCCCGAGGATAGGTTGTGTGCAAAACATTTTTCATTCATAAACAAGGTGTTTTGGCGGCTGAATGGAGTGAACATTTGACTTTTGTTGATGAGGATGGGGTGCTGTTTGACTTGCAACTATCTAAATGCTCTCCCACGTATTGCAAATACAAAGAATTGCCAGCAAAATCTAAACACCTAACTTAATCTAACATAAGCCTAAGTATACATAAACAATCGAATATAAAATATCTTATGTTTATAATAAAATTTATGTTTGAGAGAAAATCTACTTTGAATATACTAATTTAAAATTGATGAATGGGACTTTGGGGTTTCATCTTTGGGGTCTCAGAGCCTAGCCTAAAGATAATTTAGCTGGTAGGACTGGTACACGTTTAAACAGCCCCAACTGTTTATGAATTACAAGTACCTCGTACGTGACTCAGAATTTTTAACGGATCCCAGCTGTAAATGATTTACCCACGTACTTCATATGCAAATAATTGTAGCCTATCATTGAAACACTTGGTCAAATGTTCGCTACTCCAGCAGTCAATCACCCCGTCTATTAACGAGAAGCATTTTACCCTTGAGTCATCTGATTATTATATTCGAAATTTTCTCAAAAAGTGCTTTGCTCAATTTCTATGTTCGATACATTTAATAATGTTTTAATGGAGTATTTTTTATTTGCTAATCTATGTTTGTTATATGTGAAAAACTCTTTAGGGGTTGTCATTGCTTGCCCTGCTATTCGCATTTCTTAGTTTCATTTTAGTTTCCTTATTTATTTTTTAACACGTGTAACTAGTTTGACAAATTTCCACCTGTGTCCCCTAGTGCGTGTGAGGGTTTGAATCCTTCTAATGGCTCCTACTGATTTTTCTCATGGATGGATTGTTTCAAGTGTAGGTTAGACATATATTAGTATAATTTGGTAGCAGTCTTTCTTGTAAACATATGTTGTTGAATATGACCGAAAAAGTAAGATTAATAATTCTAACACGATTTTTTTCAATATTTCTTGTTTTTCTTCACTGTCGGTGGTAATGAAAATATCAATTCTCCAAAATTCATTTTTTATTAATGATCTGACGCTTAGAAGCGCTTCGTAAGGGCTTCTTACATTTTCAAAGACTTCTTTACACTTAACACTACACTTATGAACTACATTTATGATACACTCAATGCACTGTGTATGAAACATTTGACATAACCCTCGCTTTTTATTGGTTTGGGTGACGTGGGTACATGAGAACGGAAGTAACTGCAGAGGGCCTATTGGCCCATACGATGCACTGAAGTGGGTAGAATATAGTTGTGCATTAATTGGCTGTTTATTGCTGGTGTTGACTTTTTGATGTATAGTGCCTCGCTGATGTCGAGCCGCCTGCTATCGCTGTACCTATCGATGATTTCTGTGTTGTTTGTTAAGATTTCTCTGGTGATGGTCTGGTTGTGAGAAAAGATTATATGTTCCTTGATGGTGCCCTGTTGCTTATGCATTGTTAGTCGCCTGGAAAGAGACGTTGTTGTCTTGCCTATATACTGAGTTCTTTGGGGCTTACAGTCCCCAAAAGAGCATTTAAAGGCATAGACGACGTTAGTCTCCTTCAAAGCGTTCTGCTTGGTGTCTGGGGTGTTTTTTCATGAATAGATTGGCCGTTTTTATTATAAATAAATCAAATCAAATCAAAATAAATAAAATAATAAAATTTTAGTTATAAAACAAAAAAAACGGCCAATCTATGGCCGTTTTATAAAAACAAAAAAACGGCCAAATGGTGTCTAAGAAAGAAAAGCAAGATGCTTTCTCAGGTAAAAGAAGCCATTAACCTTTGAACTCTAGTAGCAACTTAGTACATGTGTAAACAAACATTCTCCTATAACTCTCCACCTCCAGAGTGGCACTGTCCTCCACCCCCACAGTGACACTGTCCTCCACCCCCACACAGTGACACTGTCCTCCAACCCCGGACAGTGACACTGTCCTCCACCTCCACACAGTGGCACTGTCCTCCACCCCCACAGTGACACTGTCCTCCACCCCCACACAGTGACACTGTCCTCCACCCCCGGACAGTGACACTGTCCTCCACCCCCACAGTGACACTGTCCTCCAACCCCGGACAGTGACACTGTCCTCCACCTCCACACAGTGACACTGTCCTCCACCTCCACACAGTGACACTGTCCTCCACCCCCACACAGTGACACTGTCCTCCACCCCCGGACAGTGACACTGTCCTCCACCCCCACAGTGACACTGTCCTCCAACCCCGGACAGTGACACTGTCCTCCACCTCCACACAGTGACACTGTCCTCCACCTCCACACAGTGACACTGTCCTCCACCCCCACACAGTGGCACTGTCCTCCACCCCCACAGTGACACTGTCCTCCAACCCCGGACAGTGACACTGTCCTCCACCCCCACACAGTGGCACTGTCCTCCACCCCCACAGTGACACTGTCCTCCACCCCCACACAGTGGCACTGTCCTCCACCCCCACACAGTGGCACTGTCCTCCACCCCCACAGTGACACTGTCCTCCAACCCCGGACAGTGACACTGTCCTCCACCTCCACACAGTGACACTGTCCTCCACCCCCACACAGTGACACTGTCCTCCACCCCCGGACAGTGGCACTGTCTTACCAACAGACAGTGATGGGGTTTGAGACGCAGTCGACTAGAAGTCAGAAAAGAAAAATAAAGTCTACGAAGTTTGTTGAACAACGGGACCAGCCCAGCTGATTGACGACATCCATTAGTATCACTCAGTGACTATACATGATTGGCTTTTCCTAAAGGCACGCCTGTAGCTGATTGTGCGGAGCAAGAAGCGGAGCCATCGTTACACACCTGGCTCTGCTATGTGGACCGTTACACACCTGGCTCTGTACCATGGGGACCGTTACACACCTGGCTCTGTACTTTGTGGACCGTTATACACCTGGCTCTGTACCATGGGGACCGTTACACACCTGGCTCTGTACCATGTGGACCGTTACACACCTGACTCTGTACCATGTGGACTGTTATACACCTGGCTCTGTACCATGGGGACCGTTACACACATGGCTCTGTACTATGTGGACTGTTATACACCTGGCTCTGTACCATGTGGACCGTTACACACCTGGCTCTGTACCATGGGGACCGTTACACACCTGTCTCTGTACTATGTGGACTGTTACACACCTGGCTCTGTACCATGGGGACCGTTACACACCTGGCTCTGTACCATGTGGACCGTTACACACCTGGCTCTGTACCATGTGGACCGTTACACACCTGGCTCTGTATTATGTGGATCGTTACACACCTGGCTCTGTACCATGTGGACCGTTACACACCTGGCTCTGTACCAT